TTTTGTCACCTACAGTATGAAGAAGTGCAACCTTTTCTTCAAGGTCTACATGGTCTTAATAACTTGGTCTGTGATTACTAGTCAGCTGTCTTTTCTCATCAGAACCAATGCATAGCAGTCTTACCTGATTCACATTCCTTGAACATACCATGCTTTCTAATTCCTGTTTCTTTTCTCTTGCCTTTTTTTTTTTTTAAGAGATAGAGAAAGACAGTGAAATCTTCCATCCACTGGTTCATTTCCCAAATGATCGCAAGGGCTAGAGCTGAGCTGATCTGAAGCCAAGATCCAAGAGCTTTTTCCTGGTCTCCCATGTGGGTATAGGAGCCCAAGGACATGAACCGTCCTCCATTACCTTCCTAGTCCAGAATCAGGGAGCTGGAATGAAAATGCAGCAACCAAGCCTAGAACCAGAACTCATATGGAATATCAGTACTGCAGGGAGAGGATTAACCTACTGACCCACCATGCAGGCCCTGAACTTACATTCACTTCAGGAAGCTTTTCCTAACTTCTCTTCAAAGGCATTCATCCCACCTTCACTTAATAATCACTTTATGGATTTTTACAACACTGGTTTCAGTGTTTTGCTTTTGTTATTGACACATTTGTGCCCTGCACTAAACTGTGAACTCCCTGAAGCCAAGCTTCACACTTCAATATTTATAATCGCACAGCCTAACTCAATATCTGATATATCAGAGGTACCAAAATCCTTCATGTATCTATTATTGGCTGCTATGGCTAGTCACTGTGTTCTATATTGGCAGTTCAAATTAGGTAGGAACCAAAAGCTCCTTGTGCTCACTGACTATACTCTATGGGGAAGAGGCAGACTGTAATTAAGTGATAACAGCTCTAATAAATATATACCTTCAATAAGTGCTCTTAAAAACATACAGAGGCAAGAAGTTATTAATTAAAATTTGAGTTTTAATAACATTTAGTTAGCACTGTCCAGTTTGAATATAATATGTAGATTACGTATCTAACTTCTGTTTTCAAATTTCTATTTATTTAATGAGAGGCAAAGTGACAAAGATCTCCCATCTACTGATTCCCCCTGCAGATGCCTATGCCAGGGCTTGGTCAGGCCAAAGCCAAGAATTCAATCGTGGTCTCCCAAGCAGGTGGCAGGTATCTAGTTATCTGAACCATCACTGCTGCTCCCTAGGGGATACAGCAGCATAAAACTTGAATCAGCAGTTGGAATCAAGAATCAAACCTATACACTTTGACACAGAACACAATTCTTTTTTTTTTTTTTTTTTTTTTTTTAAAGATTTATTTTTATTATTTTTTATTGGAAAGGCAGATATACAGAGAGGAGAGACAGAGAGGAAGATCTTCCGTCCGATGATTCACTCCCCAAGTGAGCCGCAACGGGCCGATACTATGCCGATCCGAAGCCAGGAGCCTCTTCTGGGTCTCCCACACGGGTGCAGGTTCCCAAAGCTTTGGGCCGTCCTCGACTGCTTTCCCAGGCCACAGGCAGGGAGCTGGAAGGGAAGCGGGGCCGCCGGGATTAGAACCGGCGCCCATATGGGATCCCGGGCGTGCAAGGCGAGGACTTAACCACTTGCGCCACCGCGCCGGGCCCAGAGAACACAATTCTTACACACAGGCCAAATGCCTTTATTCACTTAGAGAATTTCAAATAGTCTACTAGTTGTATTTTAAAAGTAATGGTATAGTTAAGAATGTGCATAATCTCATGCATCCAAAATGTTATCATTCAAACATATAATCAGTTATTAATGAGATATTTCATGTTTTTGAAGATTTATTTATTTACTTGAAAGGTGGAATTACAGAGAGAGGGAGAGACTAAGAGAGATTGATCTTCCGCCTGCTAATTCTATCCATCACCTGAATGGACAGAAGGCCAGGACACAGCCAGAGCAAAGTCAGAAACCAGGACCTTCATCTGGGTCTCCTCCTTGCCTTGCAGGAGCCCAAACCCATGTTCCACTGACTTCCAAAATTATTATCTTTGAGTTAGAGCTCAAGTGGAGCTGCCATGACATGCAGCACTGCAGAAACACACTTTGCCTGCTATACCTCAATGCCAGCCAAAAGATATTTTACATTTTTTATGAAATCTTTGAAGCCAGTACGTATTTTATACTTAGAACACATCTCAGTTCTAATAATCCCACCAATTGCTAAAGCCTTAGAAAACGCCATGGCAATGCCTGCACTCGGTGGTTCCAACCTTGTGCATCAGAGAAACCACCTATAAGCACTTATTAAAAGCAAAGATTTCTCAACAACTCCTTCCATTTTATTGAATATCTCTAAAGATACATTCAGAAATGTGGTTTTGATCAAGTATACCAGGTGATGCTGACATATCATAATTAATACAAGGTTACAAGTATAATGAAATCTTTAGTCATCCTGAAAGACATTAAGCAATGTTATTAGAAACCTAGGAAGAAAAATATTTGGGACAACTCAAATAATTCAGAAATTCACATCTGTACAGAATCTTTAAAGTTTATTATGGAAATTATTAATTCCTAAAAAAAAATAGTAAGCAAAGCTCTTGTCTCCTGGAATTCCCAAGTTCAACCCTGACATTGCTATGTACATGAGAAGCAGTGATGGATTTAGAATCTAATAAGAAATATCCAAGAAAGCTTATTTGATTGGCAGGATCCCAAAGAGAAAGAAGGGACTTGGGTCTCTGTGGTGAGGTAAAAAATGATTTGGACCAAAAAGGGGGCATTAAAAGTGATAGGGATGAGCCTGTCATGGTAGCCTAGCAGCTAAAATCCTTGCCTTGAACATGTCAGGACTCTATATGGTCATTGGTTCTAATCCCAGCAGCTCTGCTTCCTATCTAGCTTTTTTTCTTGTGGCCTGAGCAGGCAGTCAAGGATGGCCCAAAGCCTTGGGACCCTGCCACTGTGTGAGAGACCTGGCAGAAGCTCTAGGCTCCTGGCTTCAGATTGAGTGCAGCTCCAATCACTGCAGCCACTTGGGGAGTGAATCAATGAATGGAAGATCTTCCTCTCTGTCTCTCCTCCTCTCTATATATGTGCCTTTCCAATAAAAATAAAATAAACCTTTTTTTTTTAAAAGTGATAATGATGGAATGGAAGCATAGAATCTTAGATTGTGAACTTTTCTACCACACTTAGGCCATCTCAGGGCCCACCTCAACTCAAGGATGACATAAAATCAGCAGAGCCAGCCTAGCACCTGCCCAAGAAGGAAGGAAACATCAGAAAAGCTGGCAACTAAGGGGTACATGTAGGCCTGAAACTATTTTCTTCTCTTCCTTCCATCTAAAAGTCTAGTAGATTACTAACAACTAGTAGAAGACCAACAGAAGCTGGTGGCTCTTAGAAAAGGGATGGAAAAGGAAAGGGTTCCAAGGGTTAAACTGGAAACAAGTTTTCTTCATGGGAGTGCAGACTGGGTCAGGTAGAGCCAAGCTTTCAACTCTAAGGCCCATCTTACTCTCCTTATCGTTTCCCCACACTTCCTCACTAAAAATATCACTAGAAGAATCACAAGCCCAATCCTTTCAAATATGAATTATAACCATGGTTGCTTATAGTCCCAAAGGAATATGAGATAATAGAGGAAATTGTTTCAACATCTGAGGAGTATAAAGTGTGAAAAACTTTTTTAAAAATTCAATACTAGAGAAAATTAATTTAAAAAAAAGAAGGGTTTTATATGAGTGAAAGAAATAGCTCTAAGGAGTTAAGGAAAAACATTAGAAATGGAACTGAATAACATGCTGGAAACAATGGTTTTTAAAAATACAGTGACTGGGGGCTGATGTTGTGGCAGAGCATGTAAACTGTCCCTGCATTGTCTGTACCATTGTGAGTCTCAGCAGCCCCACTCTGGATCCAGCCCCCTGCTAACATGCCTGGGAAGGCAGTAAAGATGATTCAAATGTTTCTGCCCCTGCACCCACATAGCAGATCTGGAAGAAGCTCCTGGACACTGATCATCCCAGAGCCAGCTATTGTTCCCACCTAGTGAATCTGTGGATAGAAGATTTCTCTATGTATCTGTCATTCAAGTAAATAGATAAATCCTTTAAAAGCTATGTGCGGTGACTGATGAGCGCAGTGTTTCACTAGAGTGTTACTGATGACAACGGCATGCCCTGTAGCTACCTGTTTGTATCTCAGCTATTCTACTTCTGCTCCAACTCCCTGCTAATGGCCTAAAATAGCAACGAAAGATGCCCCAAGTACTTTGGCCCCAGAAACCCATTTAGGAGACCAGAAAGAAAATCTGGGCGAGTGGAGATGCTAACTAAGGTGGACTATGCCAGCTAGTGGATTCTGAAGAATTTTCATCATGCTTGGAATGGTGAGATCAGCAGCAATTCAGAACAGTTGAACCATCGAAACCACTTGAGCAGTGCCCTCAGAGCACGTCCCACTTCGGGGACCTGGGATGGGTGGGAGGCAGGGTGTGGTTTCTCCCTTTGTCTCTCCCCATTACCTCAGATGCAAGAACGAAAAAAGACAATGTGGAAACAATGGTCTTACCCACTTTCCTGTAGTCCTTGACTCTTTGAGCCCTAATCAACTACGTAAAGATCAGATATATATGTATACATATATAATTTTTTTAATAGTTGAATCATATTCGGTGCCTAAATCCATTCAGATTCCTACTACTATGGGCCACTCGGGCACGATTGCACAGCAACACTTCTCTCAGAAAAAACTAGTTTGAAAAGGTCAAACCTGGTGTGTTGGATTTAACTGTTAATACAGAGGAGGGTGCGTCTTCATGTCTCACTGCTGTAAGTTAAGCACAGGAGGGCGGGACGCTTCCGGGTCAAGCCTGCGCGACGCCCCACGCTGGATCTGGGCGTGGCCTCGCGCAGCCCCGCCCAGCCGTAAAGAACTCTAACCGTCGTGAAGCGGCGAGGTGCGGCAGTGTTGGTTTACGGCAGCCTGGTTGTCTCCGCGGCCGGCCTCCGCGGCTCGTGGGCACGTGGGAGGAAGCTGTGCTGCTGCGGGTGATTGTTCCCGCTCGCTTTGCAGGACGGCGTGACAGCGGAGGCCTTCGCTCGTCAGCTGATGGAATCTGCTGCGGAAAGTGAAGGGACCCTGGAGAGAGGTGTCCAGAGGGTTGCCGAGGGGACGCGGCCATGCCCGGAGTCGGGTGGGGAGAGAGACGGGGACTTGACTGGGATGCCGGAGCTGGATGGACTGACCTCCAGGAAGACCGAGGCCGGAGAGAGAGCACGTGTACCAAAGGCGGAGGAGATGAGAATGGACTTGGCGGTGGTGAAGCGGTTAAGCATGGACGGGTCGGGTGGGCCGTACGTAACGCCGGAGGCGGACGGTGGGCCTGAGATGAGGGACGAGAAGGTAGTCGAATCGGAGCTGAAACCGCAGGTGGATCATGCTTTGGTGGTGGAAGACAGGGTGGATGAACTGGATGATGTCAAGGAAGGGAAAGTGCAGGTGAAGGAGGAGGTGGACTGGCCTGACGTGAAGGGGGAGCAGGAGGACCAGGTGGAGCTAAAGCAGCAGGTGTTCCCCGGTCGGAGCTTAAAAGAAGAGGGAGCGGTGGAAGGGGAGCAAGTGAAAGACGACCAGGCAGTCCTGAAGAAACAAGTGGTGGATGATTCCAAGGTGGAAGAAGAGCCCCAGGTGAATCCGCGAGTGGGATGCAAGCGGAAGCTGGCCATGTCAAGGTAGGGCAGGGAGAAATCGGGGAGAGGGGCTACCCCTGGGCGGACCCCTTAGCTGAAAATTCGGCTAAAATGCAGTTGAGCTCAGCTGTGAAGCTTCCATGCAGGTATGGATTGAATTCCCTTAGCGCGTAATCTTGTGACAACCCAGGAAAGCAGTAGCTGTCAGAATCATGAAACATTGCTGGCTAGAACACAGTGGGCCAAACCAGAGAATCTGCTGTGTCGTTAGGATTGCGAACTCTTAGAAGAGCAGGTGAAGATGGTTGATGGGTAATAGCAGTTCTAGAATATTTTGATTTCCATTCTAGGTTAGGCTTGGGGCCGAGGAAGAAAGATGCCACAGATACTTTAACTTTGGTTCTTATACATCAGGTTATTTTATGTCTTGCGTGTGTGCTGCTGTTACAATATAAAAACGTAACCCGTGGGTTGGTTACCATTTGATTGCCAGGAATTACAGTTAAAATGCTCTAAATAATTTCATTCTTTAATTGTAGTAGAAAAAAAAGAGTCCAAAGCAAAGTGATTTTTAAAATAGCTTGCTTCCACATTTTCTTACATATCCTTAGATGTGATCAGTGTAGTGTTTACTCGGTCACAGTTTCAGAGGCTTTTCAAGGAATGTTTGAAAGGAATTAAGTATTTTACCAATTATTTATACTTTTTTTCACTATATCTAGAACTTGTGACAAATCAAAATTTATAAATAGATTAATAGAATTAATACTTAATAAGGTAGTAAGTAACATGTGAACTTTTCCAGGTGTGAAACTTGTGGTACAGAAGAAGCAAAGTACAGGTGTCCACGTTGTCTGCGCTATTCCTGCAGGTAGATGGCTATGTCACTTCCTTCCTTATGACCTGTGTCTACATCCTTCTTGGGCAGGCTCTCAAAGCGCATCCTCTTTGTTTATTCAGCTTGCCCTGTGTCAAGAAACATAAAGCAGAGCTGACGTGCAATGGAGTTCGAAACAAAACTGCGTATGTCTCAATACAGCAGTTTACTGAGATGAATCTCTTAAGTGGTAAGCCACCTTATACACATAGAAGATTGATGCTTCATGGCCATTGGCAGATGTCATTTGTTTATTTCCTATTTTGAAATTTTTAGATTATAGATTCTTAGAAGATGTGGCAAGAACAGCAGACCATATTTCTAGAGATACTTTCTTGAAAAGACCAATAAGTAACAAACATGTGAGTATTTTAATGTCTTCCTGTTAGAATTTCTTCTAACTCTGGGCTTTTTTTTCAGTTAATCTATATTAAGTGACTGCTCTTATAGTTATTCAAATGCAATAGTAATCAAAAAATTTCTGGAGTTCTTACTATATTGAGAGGGAGAAGAAATGAGAGAGAGACAAAGATGAGTAGAGAAACACAATTTCAGAGCGAGCTGAATGCATATAGAAAACAAAGTTCAGGGCTTTGGTGCCATGGCTCAGTGGCTAAATTCTCGCCTCCTTGCCTTGCAAGTGCTTGCATCCCAAGCTGGTTTGCGTCCTGGTTACTCTGTTTCATGTCAAGCTTCCTGCTTGTGGCCTGGGAAAGCAGTGGAGGATGGCTCAAAGCCTTGGGACCCTGTTCCTGTGTGGGAAATGTGAAAGAAGCTCCTGGCTGCTGGCTTCGGATTGGCTCAGCTCTGGCCTTTAAGCCATTTGAGGAGTGAACCAGCAGATGGAAGATCTTTCTTTCTGTCTTTCCTTTCCTTCTCACCGAAGTTTGATTTGCCTTTCCAGTAGAAAGAAATAATTCTAAATAATAATAAAGTTCAAGAGCTTAAAGAGAATGAAAATGTTGTTTGTTGGAAGATTATCAGAATGCTGTTTTCAATACTGTAGTCAGAAACAGTGCTGAGGGACGTTTCAGTTAATGATCTGAATGACAGGAAAGAGATCCTCCAGTGATGCTGGGGACCAGCTGTTCTACATAGAGAAAAATGCAAAAGTAATTACCTGAGAACCAAGGTGGCTAGCTCAGGCGTTCAAAAGCAGAGTAACTGAAGCCTAGCAAATAAGGAGAATGAAACAGGAGCTTGGAGAAAGCAGAGTGTTCTGAATGCATTCAAGGACAAATGGAAAGTTACAATTATTGATGCATGAGTCCATTCTAGTTTTGAAGGAAATGTTGTCAAGATTTGTTGTTCTGATACATTTGATTTTCATACCCTTTTTATTACAAATGTTTATGTAAATTTTGGAGTATTTTCCAGGTAGTATTGTTCTAAAACAAAGTATTAGCTGTAGAATTTTATTACCAGTTAAATAATTAGTTTTATTAGTATTTGGTACATAGATGGCGTCACACATATCTCCATACTGCTGCTCATTAAGTTTAAATAGTTAAAATCGTACCGATTATTTTCTTTTGTGAAATAAGCTTGCATGTTTAAAAAACATGAAGTAGAAATACAGTTGGATGGATTGCTATAAAGTGAACATGTATATAGCCACCTGCCTGTAGAACATCACCAGCTTTCCGGAAGTTCCCTGCCCCCTCATGTGCTCATCCTTTATCTCTTCTCATTGCTGAACAGTTTCTCTTGGGTACATGGCTCAATTTATTTATCTGCTCTTTCCTTCATGGACTTTATTTTCTGTTTAATGACAAAAAATTTAGAAAACATGCTACTACAAAGTTCTGTTTATTAATTATAGTTTGTATATGTGCATGTTTTTCTGCCATTTATGTTTGAGGAATTTCTTTGCTGTGGTATATTTGTATCTTCAGATTAAGACTCTTTCTAAAGTGGTTATACCAGTTTATACCAGTTTATAGCCCTGCCAGTAGTGTGTAAATCTATATGTATAGCTGTATTCTGCTGGTTTCTTAATTTGATCAGAACTTCTATCAATCTAATGACTAGGTAATTTTTTGTGGTTTTAAATTTGCAATTTTTGTTTGTTTTTTGGTTCTTCTGAAGGCTTATTTGTTTGTTTGAAAGGCAGTTGCAGGGATTGGGAGCTGTCTTCCATCTGCTAGTTTGCTGAACAGCTACAATGGCCCAGTCTGGGCCGGGTTGAGAGCTCAGTATTAGAACTCCATTTGGGTCTCCCACATGGTTAATGAGAACCCTATTTGCATGAACTGCCTGTTCCCATGTTACTATGTTTTTGTAATTAAACATAGTAAATTAAAACTTCGTATCTGATAGAAAACTCCTATTTTATACTTTTTTGAGAGTGTAACTATTCAGTGCTATTTACATTTCTTCAGGTCTTATTAAATATCTCTGTATATGTAATTTTCATAGTAGATATCTTACGTGTGTTTGTTAGAATTCTTCCTGAGTGAACAACAAACAGCGTTAGAAAGAGGCAGGAAGAGAGGGAGAGACACTCAAAGGGAGGTCATCCACTGGTTCACTCCCCAGATGGTTGGATGGACCAAGGTTGGGCCAAGCTGATACTAAGAGCTTCATCCAGGTTCACATATGAGTGTGGGGGCCCAAGCACTCGGGCCATCCCCCTCTACCCTCCCAGGCACACTGGCAAGGAGCTGGATTGAAAATGGGGCATCTAGGACACAACTGGCATTCATGTGGAATCAGAATGTTGCAGGCAGTGACTTAACCCGTTATACCACAATATGGGCAGAGTAGTTATGCTTTTGAATGTTGTGTTAAAGTGTTTTTAATTAACTTATGTTTGCTTTGGTTATTAGATGTACTTTATGAAAAATCGTGCCCGAAGGCAAGGTATTAATTTAAAACTTTTGCCCAATGGATTCACTAAGAGGAAAGAGAATTCAACATTTTTTGATAAGAAGTAAGTTTCTTAATTCTTTTTTAGTATTTCGGTTTTTCTGATTTGATGAAAATATCTTTTAAGATTGGTGTGTTACAGAATATTGCTCTCTGAAGTGTGACTTTAAAATTTACAAAACAACTTGTAATTTCAGGTCATGTGACTAGCAAAAATGTTGGGCTTGCATTGTACATGTGTGTCCTTTGAGAAACTTCTGAGCCAAAAGGTTGAGAAGCGATTCAAGTGTTAATATGCATTACAAATCAGGCATCTTGTGCAATGTGCTTTTTACAATTTATTTTCAGTAGGCATGGGTTGGGGCTTGATATTTACATTTTCAGCCAGCTCATCGGTGATAACTAAATATGTTTGCAAAACATATTTAGAGTGGCAGTGCCCTTGAAATCTCTCAGACTTGTCTATTTTTGAGTCAGAACAGTTGAACTTCTTCCATTGTTCCTATGTTGGGATTCCAGATAAGATTTCACTTTAAAGCCAACTTTTAAAATACTTTTTCTGGTATTGAATGAATATGTGTCGGTATATAATACAACAGATTAATTTGCTGCTCTTTGAAAGAGTTGGATTTAGACTCCAGTGTAAAGGGGAGAATAGCATTCCAAAGCGTAAGGGCACTTCAGAAAACTTACGCAGAAATGAAAGGAAAAGACCCTTTAGGTACAAAAACTTCTTGAAGTCCATTCATAGATATGTGCATTTCCAGTGAACTTTTTATGTCTCCTCTCACAGCTAGCTTTCCATATCAACAAATTCCTTCAGTCATGTCTTAAAAATACTTGGGCATAAATAAATGCACCTCTCAAAATGTAAAAATTTTTCCTTTTAATAATAATTTATTTTGTTTTGGTGATGTTCACATAGGTAAGGAATACATGCCCATATGGACAAACGACTAGGGCCGGTAGGGTCGAGGAATGTGGGAAAGTGGATGAGACAACTGCCGCTAATCTCCTTTTTTCTTCCTGTATGTGGAGAAAGAAGGGGAGAGGGCCCCCTTCCTGTAGCCCAACCACATCAATAACCAGGAATGGGGGATGGCCACACAGTGTTAGCCCAGTGTCCCGGACGTGGAGCATGTTCTGAGGGTATTGTTTAGAGATTTTGAAAAATTCTTCCAAGTTCTATTTGCTGACAGAGTCCACTATAGTCTCGATTTGCCCGGATACTCGCTGCCAAAGCGTGACTGGGAGTGCTATCTAATTTATTCTGTCCTCCATAGTACTAGATGATGTCCCCTGCAGGCCTCAATGGCCTGATTGTCATATCCTCCATGAGCATCTGGCCATGCCATCTACTGCACAGGCCTCAGCAGCTATGGAGATTCAGTTCTGACACAGGCACTCCACAGTCTTGTAATTTTCATTGTGGTTGGAGTTCTGCATCAGGTGATCCAGTTGGGGGAGTCCCCAAAGAAACCTTATCAGAAGTGACCCACAACCTGTGTGTGCCAACCAATCCATCACCCACATCATCCTACAGTGGTGGCTGCAGTGACCTAGTCAGTTGTGTCCCCAGCCCTACCTCTTACGCAAACCAGTGGATGCTGTGGCCCAGCCTATTCTGCCTGCCACACACAGTCCTCATACACAAACACACACCAGTGGGAGCTGCTGTCCAGTTGAAGCAACCCACCCCTACCCCGGTTCCTGCACATGCTGGTATGTACAACAGACTGGTCCAGTCTGTCTTGCACATATCAGTGGTTACTGGAGTGTAGCTCAACTAACTGACCCCACTATCCAACCTATATTTATGCCAGCAAGTGCCGTTGCCTGTCCAGCCAGGCCTACCCTTAGCCCTGGTTCACATGCTTACCAGTAGGAGCTGTAGCCCTTTAGAGGAGTGCCCATAATTTCTCCACTAGGACTGCTCTCAGCTCCGCATCATTCATTTTCTAGGTGGCTCTGCAGTGTAGCCCTACAGGACTTTCCCCCAGTCCCAGCATCTGCTAGTTGATGCTGTGGCAAAGCCCAACCAGCCTGCACTTAACTCTGGCTCATGTGAGTTTCCAAGGATGTAGTTGCTTACCCCAGCCTGGTTCTCCGCATAACCCAACTCACATGCAGGTGTACGAGCTTTGTAGTCTTGCCCAGTGGGAGGAGTGGGAGCAGTGGTTCAGCAGGGGCACCCTGCAGCTCACCTATGGGCTAGCCCCCCATCCCAGATCTTATGTGTGCTGGTGGGAGCTGCAGACCAGATTGGCATGGCTCACTTAACCTTGGCATTCTCCTATAGCTGCTGCGTCCTAGCTCAGCCTGGCCTGCCCCGAGTTCCAGCTTATGCTAGTGGGTACTAACAGCCTAGCCTATCCCAACCAGCCCCCGGTCCCAGCCCTAATGTGAAATGGTTAATGCTGTGGTCCAACCTGGCTTATCCTGCACCCTGTCCTGGTTCTCACATCTGCTAGTGGGTGTTACGAACTGGCCCAGCCTGGCCCACCCCCTAGACCTGACCCACATACATGCTAGTGGGTACTGTAACCTGGCTTGGTGTGAATTGCCCTCAGCCTTGGTTCTTGCACTCACCTGTAGGACTGCATCCTGAATAGGAGTGCCCCAAGCTCTGTTATCAGGTCACGTCACAGTGGCAAATCTCATGCATACCAGTGGGTTCTTGGCCCAGCCTGCCTTGGTTCACCTTCTGTCCTGGCAGATACAGTGGCCTTGCCTAACCAGCCCATTCCCATTTCAGCTCTTACTGTTGAGTGCTGCAGCCTAGACCCATCTCATATGGTTCAGTAGTTACTGAGACCTAGCTTAACCTTTCCTATATATACTCTGGCTTTTGTGAGCACAGTAGGTGCTGGACCCTAACTCAGTCTGATACATCCCAGACCCAGTCCACACACATGCTGTGTCCAGCCTAGTTCACTGCCCCGTTCTGGCTCTCAAACTCACCAGTAGGAACTACAACCTAGTCATGGCATCCTCTTAGCTCCCCTATCGGCTCAGCTTCCAACCACAGATCTTGTGTATGCTGGTGGCTGCTCTGACTCAGCCTGGCATCACCCATCACCCATCCTAGACTGTGCCATTATATGCTGCAGCCTCTCTTGTCCTGGACTAAAATCCCATCCCAACTTTGGCTGGTGGTTGCTGCAGCTTAGCCTTTACCAGGCTGCCCGCATTCTTGGCTTTCATGTCAACCAGTAACTGTGATAACCTAGCCTAACTCAGCATGACGTGCACTCCATCCTGGATCCCATGCTTTCCAGTGTGTAGTTTGGCCTGGCCTTGCCTGGTCTGCCCCAACCAGAGCCAAGCCACACAGCTGCTGACAAGTGAAGCAGCCTTACCCGGCCTGACCAATGCCCCAGCCCTGACTCACATCCTCACCAGCGGGAGTAATGGCCTACCAGGAGACTTCCACCAGTTCCCTCACCAGGCCCACTCCCAGACCCAGATCTCATGCATGCCAGTGGGTGCTAGGCCCTTACCCAACATAGTCTTCCTCCTCAGTCATAGCCTTTGTGTGTGCTACAGGATGTTGTAGCCTGGCCTAGCCCACTCCCAGTTCTTGGGTGTACCTGTGGTGCTACCACATGTACCACCCAACCTGTTCCCAGCTGCAGTCCCCATGAGTGTTGGTGAGTTCCGTGGTCATACCTTGCTCAGCCCATCAGCACCCCTAGCCCTCAAGCAAACCAGCTGGTGGTAGTCCCACAGGGGTGAGCCCATGAGCCCTCCCAGAATCTGCTTGCAGGCCCAGTTCTCTTGTGAGCTTGTTAGTGTCATGGCCTAGCCTAACCTGGTCCACACTCTGCTCTGACACTGTCAGGTGCTGTGGTCAAGCTTTGCCAGGCAGGCCCACCAGCCATGACTTTTCTGTACACCAGTAGTCCGTCGTTGATACCAACAGTCTCAGTTCAAGTCTCCTGTGTGGCCAGGTGTATTCATTTGGCCCCCAAAGGTCCCCTGTTTCCTTCCGTTAAGCCACCCAGTTTTAGCACTCTCATTTACCTGCAAATGCAGTAGCCTGGTTGATAGAAGTCCCCAGATTTCACTCCTCACCTGTCATGTTCTCCCTCAGCAGTCTTCTCATACATCTACAGACCTGCTTGCTTGCTAGTGTGCAGATTGCCAAGCCTGGTTCTCCAGTGATATGTCATGCCAGTCTGGAGCCCTATCTGCCTACTGAAGGTTCATGCACACTTGTGTGCGGATCCCCAGGCTCTGTGTGCTGGCATGCAGGCATCTGCCTCCCATGTGTCTTAAAAAAATAATAATATGCTGGTACCCTGGTATTTGTAGCACAAGTTTGCATTAACCGGGCCCAGGATGCCTGCCAGTTATTAGCTGTTTTTCTCCAAGCGGTATAACATCTGCCTAGGTACAAAGCACCCTAGGGCCATTGCCTACAGCTAGGGAATTGTACAGATTTTATACATTATTCTCTAAACAGCACAATATAACAGTAAAACAGAGCATTAATTATAATTAATCCTGGCATTTGCAGGCAAGGATTTAGCCATTGAACCATTATGCCAGGTCCAGAATACCTGTGTTTTATCAACCATTCACATGAAATTAACCAGGTGTTAAATTATGTGGTAGGTGCTAGAAAGGAGAAAGAAGAGGATGCCAAATCTTTACAAAAAGTTTTGTCCCACTTCTACATTCTCAAATTTCTGTTGGGAGACTGGCTTTCTATGCTTGTTTTCAGCCAACTTTGACAGATGGTATAACTCTGACCCAGGCAAGCCTGAATTTGTGTATTTTTCTACCATTTAATACACATTTGGTGACCTGGAGTGTGATCTAACTTACTTGACTGTTGAGAAGATTAAATGAAGGAGTAACTGGCACATAGGAATACGCAACTATTGAAGGTCTGCATGCTCGTGTCTGAAATACAGAAAATTATGCCTCATTTACTATATACTGTATCCACATGTGTTGAAGGTCTGATACAATTTTTTCTTTTTTTAGAGATTTTTTTATGTGTTTATTTGAAAGAGATACAGAAGGAGACAGAGAGTGAGTTCTTCCATCCACCAACTC